CTGACGGCACTGTCCACCGCTTGCCTAAACTAACTTGTAAGTGTAATGTTGCAATTTCCTTGTTCCCACTTTGGTAAAAAATTCCCACTTGTTAGAACATATTTTTTCCTTTTTGCGATGAATACCCTTTTTAAAGTGTTCTGATCGACATGTACATGCTATTAGTCATTATTTGCAGAGTGCAGGCATCAGTGAAAGGATCAATAGCGACAGGTCGAAGCCAACAACTGTAACATTTGCAGCGTTTCTAAATGGGGGGGGGGGGGGGGATGATGATTTCCAATCCCTGAGATTGTAGTGAATTCAATACCTCTGTTTCTGTGCACTGTGAACACCTAATTAATCACCACCGACAGATTGATAAATTTTTTAACTCATCAGGTTATTTATTAATCGCAGAAGACTTCAGGGATGTTATCTGCATATCCCAATGAAATAGATGGGTAATCATAACACATAATTATTTTGTGTTCCTTTTGTCTTTTTTCAGTTTCGTTGCTGTTGTTAAGTCAGTTTGCTCATGCCTCCTGTCTCTGCTCCTTCCCAGGGTTTTACCTCCGATGGCAATGTTGGAGGAGATGAGCGAGTGGGCAGAATGCCAAAGACCACCTCCCAAACCCATGACCGTCCTGCAGCTCTCTTCCACTGCCCAGAGGAGGTGGAAAAGATGGACTCCGATTAAGGTGTCACAGGGAGGATAAGAATCTGGGCTCTTCCTGGTCAAATTCAGACGGACTCCGCAAGAGCCAACGATGACCCATGATAGCCTCCAAACCCTTCACTGCCTTTATCATTGATGTAAGTTTTAGCCTTTTTCCCAGCTGGTCTGTAGGAAACAATTAGATTGTCATTGTGTTTTTATAAATGGGGGAAAGGAGATTATAGTGGGACACTTCCCAGAACATTGTGATCGTTGTTTTAGCCAGGAGTGTGTCATACCTTGTTCTTGGCAGGTGGGATCAATTCGATCAGGAATGTATTATGTGCAGTGAATGTAGCTAGGGTTTACCTACAAGAGCTTTAATTAGCTTACTTATTCTGAGCTGAATGGGTGGACATCTGTAATGCAGTGAGGAGTCCTGTTTAAAAAACTACCCACAAAGTGGTTCGGTGACTGAAGTTCACTCATGCGTTGAGATATCTTTGTAATTGGAGCTAGAAGTGGACAATTACAATGGTATAAGAGTGTATACAGTAGGTTTTGGGTCTGGGACTGGGTCAAAAAACCAGCCAATTCTGCAGATATGGTTCGTCTGCTCTGGGAAATGTGATCAGAAACAAAGAATAACTAATTGATATTCACTAAAATAATAATAAATCACATCAAATAATTGTGGTTACAGAGCACTTTGAATGCAGGAGTTGCCGCCTTTAACACATTCCTTGTGGATCTTGCTGGCAGTTGGTCCACCTGCATCCATCACCACATTCTTGAAGCAACGTTGTTCCCACCCTAACTACATAGGGTTTTATAGCGAAAAGAACATTCTTGGAAATGTTTGTTACTTGACCATGAGTGGCAGATCCCGGGGCGGGACCAGCTTTCTTGAATGGGGAACCATGCACTGTCACTTACCGCTTTGGCCTATAAACAATAAACCTAAACTATATTCACTTATGTATAACGAATAGTAATGTTGTGCATTTTTCTTTTTGAGGTTGCCCTTAACAATTCCTCTCCCTCCCCACCATTTTAGATTCACTTTAAAGGTAAGGAACGCGAAAATGGAATTTCGAAAATTAACAGGTATGGCAACACTCCCAATTGTTGTTTGAGACAACAATATTTTTATTTTTCTGATTATGTTCACGATGATTTTACCTTTGAAGTGTTCTGACAACAATTGGCATTCTGGTCTCCTCCACTACATGCAATCGAACATATGAGAATGGGTTACCAGTTTCTCCAAATGAACCATACAACCACTAAATAACGCTCAAGTTTGCCAAATATTTCATGCAGCTTGAAGGCTATCACGTGCATAAAGAGGATCTTATTGAATTGGATGATACAATAGCCGGGGATACTCAAATCATAATTTAGACTGATAGGTACTCAAGGTAGTCACCATACAACTGGGAGAAAGAAGGTACAGAATGGCAGGTGATTAAGACATTGGGAGGAAATCTGGGAGGGTATGGAGCGAGGAGAGCAGAGACATAGAAATCAAGCAAACGCAGCACTGGAAGTACCGTTGTGACAATCCAATCTTTTAAGCACAATGGCCGGTAGTGATCTACTTTAAAAATTTATGATTTACTTAATATAACAGCACCTGAAACGGATAGAGCGGCGTCGCATAGAGATTAGCGGTTAGAAGCGCCGAGGTAAATATCAACCTAACTTCGCCAAAGTGTTGATAATGCTAGTCAAATAGCAGAGAACCAATCTGAATTACCTGGCAATGTTCACTCTCGGACAACATCACGCACTGCACGTAAAAGATAAACTGAAGACGCCAATATTATACATTCAAGCCCGCACTACTCCCTCTTATCTTGAAAGTCTACAGCTGGAAACGCCCGGATCCGGAGGACAGCCCCCGGCGAGTGCTCTCGGCATCCACCAGCCAAACAGTAGAAGCTCCCGGTCGTGGCAAGATTTATCTGACAGCCTTAAATACACAGACATCCCATCATGGATTACTCCTGCTAGCAGATCCAAACAAACCAAGAATCAGAAAAACAACTCCACAGATCGATGCGTCAGAAGGTGAAAATCGGAGAAAGCTGCTGCAAAACAGGATCGCACTGCAGGATTGGTCGAACCCCTCAGTTAGCCCTGTCATTTTGAACAGCCAAAAACTCACTGCGTCTACTGATATCAATACATCATCGCGCTTATACTATATATTATCGGCAGAAGAGCAACATCAGGGAAAACACGAACAGCCATCAAACACCGCATCACAACACACGACAAGAGACACGAAAAAAAACATCCACGCACCGGAAAAGCACACACACACAGAAGTGCACAGAATCGAGAACACAAATCCCAAAGCGCGTACACAGAAAAAGGCACATAATCGAAAGAACCTACGGGTAGGCCCTTACAAGAAACAGAAAAAGAAACACAGCCTACACATACCAACACCCACAAGGGCCACGCACAGTGAAATACACCGCGCTGGTAATAAACCACCACAACAATCAAAACACATCACACACCAAACACCACAACAAAAAAGACAGTCCATATATCAGAGTAACCCAACAAAACAAAAAATAGGAACAAAAATGAACAAAATAGAAGCGCTACGTACAAGTATACGTGACAAAGCAGACACATTAAACAGCAAATGAACAGGAAAAGAAAAGACGGCGAAAGAAGGAAACAAGGATCAGTAGCAAACGCGGGAGAGAAATCAGAAACACAACCCCAAAACAAACATGCTAACTAGAACACAGCTGGTCCTGCTCACGGAGACCCACTCACATCTCGCGCCCAACACCCAGAACTGGAACATCTATTTCATTGGGACTATGCAGATAACATCCCTGAAGTCTTCTGCGATTAATAAATAACCTGATGAGTTAAAAAATTTATCAATCTGTCGAGTGGTGATTAATTAGGTGTTCACAGTGCCACAGAAATCAAGAGGTATTGAATTCACTCCATCTCAGGGATTGGAAATCATCATCCCCCCCCCCCCCCCCATTTAGAAACGGCTGCAAATTGTTACAGTTGTTGAGCTTCGACGCTGTCGCTATTGATCCTTTTCACTGATGCCTGCACTCTGCAAATAATGACTTAATAGCATGGTACATGTTCGATCAGAACACTTTCAAAAGGGTATCTCGACAAAAAGGAAAATATGTTCTAACAAGTGGGAATGTTTTTACCAAAGTGGGCAACAAGGAAAATTGCAACATTACACTTACAAGTTAGTTTAGGCAGCGGTGACAGTGCCGTCAGTATGAGTGCATAAATCTCTGGTGGTAAAAACCTAATGCTGACATCTGAGCCTTAACAGACGTGTAAATAAGATAATATGTATAGTTACCTAGTTAAATCAGTTTAAATGTCATTAGTCAGACTCAAGCTACAACTAATCCAAGAGCACTCACGACTGTCAACTTTAACAAAAGATTCTGTATGCTCTTTTTAAAGCTTTTAACCCGTCTCTTGTGAGTCCCCCAACTTATGGAACTGAAATACTTGCATTTACCTCTTTTACCACCTTTAATCTATCTATCAAATGGCTGGAGTACTCCTTTAAGAATGGGACCAATGAAATCCTGTCAAGAGAAATAATTAAAGGGCACTCTGAATGCCCCAATGATTGATCAATGTTTTCTTCACGAAAAATTCACTAAAACCTATTCTCCCTCTAATGGAAGTCAAGGCATTGATGTGACTAATGACTTGAATATCATCAGGAGGTGGAAGATAAACAATTATGTGTGCTTTTTTAATATATAGCAGTATCTTTGAGGCCATTGTTGGTAAAGGTTTTTCCGTAACACAAGCTGAATTAAGCGTTAAGCTGAATGTGCAGATTGTTTTTTTCTTGCTGAAGTTTGTGTGATTGCTGTTAGAGAAATTGTATGTAAAATCCTTTCAATGCCCATCCCTGCCTTCTCTCTCACCTATGTACTGGGCCAGTTCTAAACTGTACATCAGCTCCAGCAGATGAGCGGCATGGTTACCAACCACCATCTTCTTTATTTCCACCCAAATACGTTCTCCTGATATGGCCGCCAGTCCACGGCCGTTTTTCCTGATGGCGGCCAGTGTCTCGGGCTCATGGTCGTCAGGCTCCAAAGCTACTCTGCCATAGAACCTAGGGAGAAATGAAATGGTTGTGGCTGCTTTCATATAACATTCTTCCATAAAATGTTTTCTCCAAGTAAAAAAACAAACAAACAGTGAAATGTGGTGGCTCACCTGAAATAGCGCAGTATTCTCAGGTAGTCCTCTTGGATTCTTTCTTCAGCACTGCCAACAAACCGAACTTTACGGTTCTGCAGGTCATCATATCCTTTGAAATAGTCATATAATGTGCCATCAAGCCCTGTGATGGGGAAAAAGTAAACAAAACGTGGTAAATCTTGGTAATTTTGGTTGAGTGTACATAATACAATTAGTGACATGTCCCCTGAATGCACCGGGACTGATGCTGAGCATCTCCACAACACAAGCAAACCCAGAGATAAGCCATTATGATTCTACAACATAGTTTAATTCAGTGGATGGCAATCACACCAGTACCTAAAAACATGGAGTTGATGGTGAGGTCTCTCCGCTCGGCGTCTTTCTGCCAGTCAGTGGTGAATTCCACCTCTGCGTGACGGCCATCTGTCTGAACATCCACTCGCAACGTGGTCACCTCAAAGTTCTCATTGTGTAGCTATGAAAGAAGACCAATAAACAGATGACTAGAGGCACAGCAAAGACTGCCCTCATTTGGGATGGGATGGGCGATATTGATACTTTATTATTAAAAAAAGTGCCAAAACTATTAACATTAAGTTGTGACTGAAGACCCACTTATTAGATCAATCAAACTGACTGCAGGTGGAAAAAGAAAATGGCTCTAGCCCATGACGCCATTACAGCCTGTTCAAACAGGTCAGCCTCTTACTCTTGCTGTAATGGTCCCATGCTTCTCTCCTTTATTGTTGATCATCCTGATCCCAGCACTTTGGAACATACGCTTCATCTCCTCTGGAGTGGCTGTGGTGGCAAAGTCCACATCTTCTGGCCGCTTCCCAGACAGCAGGTCACGCACAGCACCTCCAGCTATCCTCAGCTCATGCTGGTGCTTCTCAAACACCTCTGAAAGAACAAACACACTAATTCATATTCTGAGTGCAGTTTTCACTTTGCCAAACCTTTCTTTTTTGACTCAGTCTATTGATTTTTCACTCAAACAATGAGATGACCTCCTCCAGAACAGCTTTGAAATGTGCTTGAGGCTAAAGAGTGTCGTCCAGGCCCACAGCGTGTGTTGTCATATTAAAATGGTGATGATTAAAACAAAACTGCCAGTTAAAATTGGAGGTGCAGAGTGTAAAAGACATGTATAGTTACCACTCCAACAAAACTATTGTATTGTTTGCACTGTGGGAAACAGGATCCAGCATTTGTTGGCAATTGCCTCATACTCGGGACTAAGAGTCAGAATATTTTTGCCTCTGATGCATGTATTTGTCTGATCTTATTGGCCCAATAACTTTGAAAACAGGAAAATGGTAGAGCTTTACCAAAAACAATAATTAGGACTAAACAGCCTCTAGGACGTGCTGACGTATTGATAGCTACTAGTTACAGAAATGAGATAATGATATCTGCCAATATACATTATTTGACATTAATACATAACATACACAAAAGTATTTGATATATATAATCATATCATATAACTTCTACCAAGATAGTTAAAAGATAAACACATCAGTGCTGTTGTCATCCTGATTGTCCATTCTGCAATTAATCTATTCCAAGTCTGTCCATATTGGAAGAGGGATCCCTCCTCTGAGATTTTTTCCTTAAAAATAAACTAGGGATGCACGATATATC